AACATTTGATCTCGCGTCAACTCCATCAGGGTCAACTGTTGCGCACGTTATCAAGAACTGCAACACACCGAGACTGCGTGCCGACAAGGCCAAGCGCACGAACGAACAACGGGTCGCGCTGCCGGAGGTCGAAGTAAGGATCGTGGAGTGGGCTATACGCTGCGAATAGCTCGGTGTGTGCATCACTGGTGACCTCATCAGGCAGCAGGCTCAAACGATCTGCGGAGAAGTCGGTGTCGAAACAAACGTACGCTTCTCCTAGGGCAGGTCCAAAGTATGACCGCCTGTTACTCCAGTAAGAATGATCGCAACATGGACGAAATCTCGATATTTACTGGATGTCACCTCATCGGTCCATTACGCGCAAATGGATGCCTGGGTCGAAGAAGGCAAAGAAACGCATCACGATGGCGTTCACCACGAACGCAGCCGGCATCCACACAACCCACCACTCGTTCATCGGCACGGCAGCAAAACTTAATTGTTTTGGCGGTCAAACGCCGGCGGAGATTGGGTTTGATTAGTACGCGAGTAAGAAGGGGTGGATAAACTCGGACATTTTCAACTCGTACCTGGAAGCCATGGACGTCAAAATGGCAAAACAGGGACGACAAGTCCTATGCTTGTCGACAGTGCCCCGCCGCACCTGGTGTTCGAGACCACATCCCTCTCTAACATCCTGTCAACAAGCTGCCACCAAATACCGCAGCCTATCTGCAGCCCCTAGACGCTGGAATCATCGCCGTTTCTAGGCCAAGTACAAGCAGCGCCAGTTTCAAAATGCGTTGGAGCAAATCAACGAGGTTGTTGCTCGTCGATAAGACTGGTTGCAAGAAGCACCTCTTGATGTTGCAATGTAGTGGACCAAGGAAGCGTGGCGGTTTGACGCAGTTCACTGTGACGAACCGTTGGGCTCGAACTGGCATCATAGACGACGAACTTACTGCGTTCAGTGGCAGATTGTCGAATTTGGACGTTAATAATCGTGAATAATTGGCTGTGAACAATTTCTGTGACTTTCAATACGCATAAAATCTTATAG